TCTACATTGTTTAGGCATATATGATTGTATGAGATAAAATGCATTTATTTTTTCACTACTATGGTAATAACAGAAAGAGAAGCATTAGTTTTACTATTACTATTGTTTATGAAAACATTAAAAAACTACAGCATAAGCTCACAAAATATTGTGGCCTAACTGTTTAAAACTATTTGTTCTGGGTGTTGATAGTGGCCAACCATTTTTTTCTTTTTCAGAAAGTATTTTGTTTTGTCTGATTTTATGACACCTTATAGGCCATCAACTGTCCACATTGGGGTTTAGGAAATTAGAACTGCTTATGCTGCTTGTCTACTAGTCTTAGGATAAGTTGGAAATGTTATAAATGTACTTTTTTGTTGTTTTTATCTGGTACAGCTCATAGGAATTCCAATCTTCCCAACTGTGAGAGAGCCTTGCTCCAGTGACTGTCAGTGTGTACTTCATTGTTTCCATTAGTCCCTGTATCTGTAGACCCAGGTGACAGTGGACTAGAGTCAAATTTTGTTCTTATTTAAACTAAGGCATACTGATGGCCTTTTTATCTCAGATTTGGTCATGCACGTATTAATATATCCTAAAATATTTTTATATTCTTTCCATTGGTGGAAAAGATGTTGGTATAATTATTTGTAATGGACTGCTAAGATCTCAGCAGACATTTTTCTGAGATATTCTTGAGTGGGAGTCTGTGCAATACAAGGTGGATAGTATTTGCAAGGAAGAGCCCTTCATCTGTCTTGCATCCACACTAGATATACTGCCAGTTTAAGTAGATATGAACCATAAGCATAACCATTTCAAGAATGCACAAGGTACTTTAAACTGTATGTGTTGAAACTAAATTAACAAGAAAACAGCTCTGTGATGTTCACCTAGTAAAATTAGATTAGAAGATATAAACTGTCATGCACTTGTTCTGTACTGTTTCATTCCTTTTTCAAACACTGGCATTTTTGAAGGTTTATTTACAGCTAAGGATTAAGGATTGACAGGAAGATTTGTGGACTACATCAACTAATGACACTACCTCCAAAGACTTGCAAAAAGCTGTCCAAAGTGTCAGCACCATCTTTAAGCCCATGATTTTAGTGTGTTTCATGCCTAAGCACATGAGTTTAAATCTGAGATAGATGAACTATGTGATTATCTTAAACTGATCTACAAGTAAATGCCAAAACTTATTGGTTTACTTATTTGTTTGTTTGTTTGTTTGTTTGTTTGTTTGTTTGTTTTTTTGTATATGTTAACCAGGTGAAATGGAGTGAGGCATCCCAGGATATGTCTGGTTTTACTCTTGGGAAGGAGGTTGAACAGTGCAATATTTCTTCTATAGGATTGCAGTGACCAGACATGCTACTGTAACTCTCATGGTCATGTGCTGGAATTAGCAGATATTCAACAATTTGGCCATCTCGCTGACCTATTGATATCAGAAGGTAACGATATCCAGTAGAATTTGTTTTAGTTGTTCAGTAACCTATTTTAATAGTATTGTGATTTTTGATTGCTCATCACTGTAGACCGCAACAGCTCTGCAAAGCAAGTTGTAAGTGTTACTATTATTGTCATTTTTTTTTCAGTAGCAGAAGCAAAGACAACAAACAACAGAAGTGATATGGATGTCTTCGTCATATGGCATGGTATGTACACTAGACTTCTGTCAGTGTTAATTCTTTAAAAGTTGACGTATAATCCTTGTCATACAACTTTCTTTTTATAAATATATTTCAGACTCTGCTGACCCAGCAACAAAGAGGAGGGTGTTCAACATCACCCTGCTAGTCAGGATTCTTCAGGAGAAGCAGTGGATTCTTGTGGCAGAGATGGCCAACCACTATAAATACCTTTCAACTCATCCTGGTTCCTTCAAAGAACTTTCCTGCTTGTTTGCTACTGAAATGTACTGGTATGTATTTGTATTATTTGGCTCAAACTTAAGCATAAGGTTACCCAGTCCAAAGGATATTAATATATTTTTATGTTGTTGTGTTCTTCTTTTAAGATTCGACATGTGGCCTAAACAAAGAGGGGATAAAAGGTCTATGGATCATCATTCTCAAAAAGCAACAAAATAACTGAAAAATAAACAACAATACGATGGTGCAATCTAGAGACCTGCAAGGTACCTGCAAGTTTTGGCTGGAGCAGAGAACATAGATTTTTTTTAATAAAGCTCCAGCTGATGAGTATGACATTGACTGTGGATTTTCTTTTACTGTAATCCAGAAGAGGATGACCTTAACCCTGAATCTAAAGCATGTAATAAAATCTGTAAAAATAAAATAAAATTTTCATCATCTATAACCAAATTGTTGTCTCTTTTTTTTAAATACATAGATATGTACAGTATGTAAGCATTCCTCTAAAATCAATCAGTGGTGTAAATTAAGAGCATTATTGTATGCCTAACTGCTTACAACATATAACGATTTAAGGAACTCTATATTAAAATAAAATTATTACATTAAATGACATTAAGAGCTTTTAAAATATTAATTTTATGATACATTTTTATGATAAATTAAATTTTTGCATATACTTGGCCAAACAATGTACATTATTATGGTCAACTGCTCAGATACCTCCAGTCAATATGTGGCTGAGTCAGGCAACCAGACTTCTACCTCTGAAAAAATTAACCTATGATTTACATCAAAGATCTGATGGATCCATTTGGTCCTTATGGATTTTTCTTAAAAAATAAAAAAAAATTAATCTCCTTTTATTTTTGTCCTTACTTTGAAACATTTGTATTCTTTTGTTAGAATGTCTAACAAAAAAACTGCTGCACTTGTTGTGAGATAACAGTGCGACTGTTGTTATTCTGAAAAAAAAAAATTACTTTGTATAATGTTTTATTGAATGCAAGATAAAAAATAAAATATTTTCCAAGAGATGGATTGCGGCTGGAAGAGCATCTGCTGCATAAAAACATGCTGGAAAAGTTGGCGGTTCATAGAGCTGTGGCGACCCCTGGTTAATAAAGGGACTAAGCCAAAAAGAAAATGAATGAATGAAAATAAAATATGTATTTTTGGTAGACATAGAACTACAAAGTAACTTATAAATACAGCACAGAACTATTTTACTTCTAGTTTAGATGATTTAAAGGTTTGCATTTTTATTTTGTTGGTTAATGGCTATGTATTTTTAATCATTTGGAGGATTGAACTATTCGCAGCATTTGAAAGGATATCTTTTCGTCATTGTTACCTCATTTCTCAATATTTTCATGATTCTTACAATGCAGCAAATCTTACAATAATTTGATCATAAAGAAAATATTTAACAAATTAACCCACATGCAGGACAAAGACATTATGTGGAAGCATTATTAAACACAAGTTCATCCATTGTCATCAAAACATACTGTTACACAAACAGTTGAAGATTTAGAAAGTAAAAATAATCAGATAAAGAGTGGTTTTTAAACAAATACATGTCTTTAAAAAGGTTTTATTTATAAACATTTACATATTTTAAAAGAGCTTTTATCCATATTTCAAATAAAGTGAAAACAATTAAATATCACACGATGACCATTAATGAAACACACTTACAGAATTACATCCACAAATATTATTCTGAACTCATAATATTTGTAATGAACATAGATCACTATTGCTAATAACTTGTGATTAAAGAGGATACTAATGTTTAGCTTATTTTTACAGCTTTTTAAAAAAAAAATTTTTTACCACAACTGTACAATACAATTTCTTGTCCATGTTTAAGATAATACATCTACATAGGTTAACTGCCCTTTTACTCAAAGGGGATGAGTAGAGCCCCGTAGAAAAGGAAAAAGTATTCACATTTCAAACAAGAAATGAGTGAGAGAATATCAGCAAGACTATTACCTATGCTATGTTCAATAAATAATGTTGGATATAATAGTCTGATATATACTAATCAAGTCAATAAAAGCTGTTTAAAAAAAAATACTCATTGTAAAATAACAAATTTATGCCTGGCTTTCATATATGTCATAAATATATGCACAATGACCTTATTCAGATACTCTTTAGTTCATTAAAAATTGTATGTGTTCCATTTTATTACAAAAAGACTTTAAACTACATTACCCACAATCCTCTGTCGCTATATAGATGGGAGGGGAAAGACATGGCGCTACAAATTGTAGTTCATTGAAAGGTGTAGTTAGGGTTAAGTTTAGGGTTACGATCTTGGTTAATCGGTAACTATTTGAAACACAGCGATAACTCATTGATAAAGGACACTGTTAGTAAAGTGCCAAAGTTAGCAAAACATAGTTAGCAACACGAAGGATCTTTTAATTTGGCTTTGAAGTTATAGTCCAATCACAACGTCGCAATCTACGTCACACTTTGTCTCTATTTGGTAATCTTCCGGCTGAAGGTAGATTATAATAACCTTATAATATAACTTAAATATCAAAATGTGTATTAATATTACATGTTATTTATTGTCTTATTAAAAATACAAATGTATATTTACCGTGAGATTCCTTTGTGGGGGTAACCTGATGTGCAAAATGATCATAGTAAAACCAGATCATAGGCAGTATACTAAATTTGAAACGAATAATAAAATAATAAAAAAGCTGTTGTTTGAAAACATTTCCAGCATTTCCTGTAACTAAACCATGCATCATGTAGGTATACAAATATAAATATATGTCAAACTTAAATGACAAATATAGTGCCCATTAAATAGTAAAAATAGTAGTTCATTGTAAATGAGTATGCAAATAAACACAATACATTTTAATGAAACATTTATAATTTATTTATAATGCCACAGATAAAATAAATAATAAAAATCACACAAAAATGCAAAAACCAAAAATATATATTTTATAACAGTTTTTAATGCAATAATATATTACCATACATATATAAATGATTAAAAACAATTATAATTGAAGGAAATGTATATTTTTTATTATTATTATTATAATTATTTTGTGATATTTATTCATGTCATTCATCTGGTATGTCAAGCCTAAGTAAAACTGCACTGCAATAAATCTTTTCAAATGATGCCTTTGGAAATGCCATTATAATAAACAGCTTTTACAACAACAAGAAGTCAAGTTCATGACAAATGCAAATTATGTTTATAATAACAACTTTCTGAACTTAAACATCAAAAGTAGAATAAGTTCAAAACATATTCAAGTATTTACTGAAGAATAGCAAAAACAATTTTTACAAAACACTGAGAACCAAAGTGTGCTTGGTGAGTCCAGGTGTTTATGGTGACTAGACTGTCATATTCCAATCCGGTCAGCATGAGGAGACTTGGGCGTAAAGTGTCAGGAATTCCTGGAGGGCTCCCATGTGTTATTCCAGGTTTTGCCACTGTAAAGTATTAGAAGTGCACAATATCATTACTGAACAAAGAATGAGTGTTAGGTTTCATTTAGAAAGTTCAGTGATATTTATTTATATATGTAAAGCATCATTAAACCTGGCACTCTTGAATTAACTGTATAATAGGTTAAACATTTCCAGCTTGTTTCCATGTATTCCAAGCAGATCTGTCAGTTCTACAAACTCAGAGATCAGGATAGTGACTGCTCTTCTCATTATGAACACCATTATCCTTCTCATACATTTTTATCACCACTGATGTCCACTGCTGTAGTTTTCATTAAAGGGAATGCTGACACAAATTCCAGCATGTCTTTTTTTTAAATAGCAGAATATGGGTATTATTGGGCCAAAACCTTAAAAAAATATAAGATGCAAGATTTGAATCTTGATGAACATATTGTTAATTCACTTCTTGCAATTTAAAACACACATCTCATGTTTGACTCATCAATTATATAAAAACTACAACAGCATACTGTGCTTCACCCTAAAATATTTCTAAATTATAACAAGCTTATTGCTTTACATGGCTAAACATTTATTTTATGCCTGCATTATTCACTGCTATTACTGTAAACCATTACACTCTTAACCCAAACTAGTTGACTTTATTCTAATAAAGTCAACTAGTTTGGGTTAAGAGTGTAAACTGCATAGAAACATGTTGCCTTAAACCCTTTATGTTTTTACACAAGGTGAAACTAAACAGCCCACTTTAAATTAACCTAGAACTTTTACAATCTTCTTGGACTTACAGTAATATTTTAATTCAAGTATGGCTGTTAAGTTGTACCTTGTATAAAATGTAAGAGGTTTAAGCCACTGGGTTTCTATACAATTTTCTAGTAAAGTCAACTAGATTGGGTTAAAGGAATAGTTCACTATTTACTCTCCTTTAAGTGGTTGTAAACCTTTTTAAAAAAACTTTCAAGTTACGTTGTGTTGAACATGAAGGAAGTTTTTTGAAGAAAGCTGAAAAGCTGAAACCATTGACATGCATAGTAGAAAAAACAAATACTATGGAAGTCAGTGTTTGCAGGTTTTCATCTTTCTTTAAAATAAAATTTTTTGTGTTTAACTGAAGAAAGCAAGTCAGACATATTTGGAACAAGTGAAGTATGAGTCATTAATGACAGAATTTTCCTTTTTGGGTGAATCTCTTTAAGAGTATTCTGAAAGAAATGTCCTACTCAATGAAGCTAACTTCAGCTGCATGTGTAGCCCCATGAGTACTTATCTAGAAATCAAAACAATGATCATGTCAGTCCCATTTTAGGCCCTTTATATCATATTGGCCACAGAATGGACAACTTAGTGTTGCAATAAAATAAAAAAATTAATAAAACTATGACTTACCACACAATACAAGACAAACAGTGAATTTTCAGCTCTGCCTTTGCTGTACACAAGATGAGGTTCCAGCTTCAACACTGATCTGAGTGGGGCAGTTGTGCAGCTCTGTGAGGTTGTGACTGTTTAGCTGCAGTGCTGTGAAGAGTTCTTTATTAAAAGAAAGTACATTCTTTTAAAATCTGTACATAATAACAAAGAAAATACAATGATTTTAAATAATGATTAATTCTGAACAAAAACCTTACCCTTAGTCAAGATGAATTCATATGTCAAAAGTTTCTGCATCTGAAATGAATAAAAACAGATGTGACATTAGTTAAACCCACTAAACTACTAGATACATCAGTACTGCATTAAGCAGTTGTAAAGTAATGTAAGTGTAGTCCAAAATGAGCCTTAATCTCTTTAAGATAATGATTTTAAAAAAAAAACGTTGCTTGTGTTAAAAACAATCCAGCCACTTGTAATACATATGATCAATGGTAAATTTCTGAGAAGGTGCAAGGTAATCCTTGAGTTTTACCATTACCATCCTGACTGACATAATATTTGACAAATAAGACAGCTTGTTGTGCCTCTTTACCACAATTTAGAGATGATAGATTCTTTATTTTATTAAATAAATTGGTAAAGGCCAAATTATACTGGTAATAGTGTAAGATATTCATTGTGTGACATACATCAGCTTAAGTTATACTTGAGCTTTTGTTATGCTATATATATATATATATATATATATATATATATATATATATGTGTGTGTGTGTGTGTGTGTGTGTGTGTGTGTGTGTGTGTGTGTGTGTGTGTGTGTGTGTGTGTGTGTGTGTGTGTGTGTGTGTGTGTGTGTGTGTGTGTGTGTGTGTGTGTGTGTGTGTGTGTTTTAAGGCATGGAAAATAATCGTTTTTACAATGTAGCCTTTAAACCTTTGGAAACACTTGATGTTCTTTAATATTAAAACAATTACGAATACATTTGTATTATTAGAGTTGCATACTGCATATTATATATAGATTTTGCACGAATTCTATTGTGGAAAACAACAATCTGGTTACACTGTTCCTTATCTTAAAATGTATATATTGTTCTAATGCATGACCAACGTTATATGTGAGAAAAATATGTTTTTAATAAATGAACTTGATGTAATTAGATAACGTCGCTAGTTTACAGTACATGCTTTATCAACAAATCGTCTTTATTTGTTTACTTTTTACTTACCTTGTGGAAAACCGCAGTGAACCTTGGGATCGCAATGAACCTTGGGATAGCGAGCATAGACTGTAAAAAATAGATCGCCACATACAATGACCCCAACTTCAATAAATAATTTAAAATGAAAAAGATCAGCCGAAAACATTTTTAAACTTAGTACTTGAAATGTAATATTTTTTAAAGTAAAAAAACAATAAATAATATGAATGAATCAAAGTTTTATTAGGCATAGTTACCCTAAACTGGGCAACCGAATATAATTTCACTCATTAAATATAAAGTAAATGATAACATATTTATAAACACCAACTAATCTCCAATAAAAATACATTATGAAGCATTAACATACTATTTAATGTTGACAGTTGAACTCATCTGAGAACTCACCGCTGATGCAGTTTGACCAATAGCAGAGCGGCGTTAAACTCACCGTGAAGGGATGTCACGTGGACCGAAGTTTATTCATACAGTAGTTTCAACCCAGTTTACAGACGCTTTTCATGAACAAAATAAAAATTGCATATTTTTAAAATAAGAAAACTGTGATAATAGGCGTAAATCAGGTTTTAAAAAGTGCATTGACATCTATTGGTAATTATACGAGCCTCCAGCGTCTCCCAATGACGCCTCAGGCTCAGGCACAGATTCTATAGGGAATCCCTGCACGTCTAAATATGACGCTAAAGGGGTACCCTGTGCGTCAATAACTTACGCCGAGGGTTCCTGACCAAGCGTCAGTATGTGACGAGTTGGGAGTGAGAACGTGTTGGTTAAACATGTCAAAGCAAGTTGCAAGTGAAAATCTATGTCTCTGACTGAGTTTGCATTACTGCTTATTTTGACCTCTGCTGGCTGAGAAAAGCTCATTTTCAATGTTCAATTCAGAAAGTGATAAAACCAGATCCAGCCACTAAAAAGCATTTTCTTTTTGTTTTAGACAACATTTTATGCACTGTTAAATATGTTTAAGAAAGTTGCAAGTGAAAATCTATGTCTCTGACTGAGTTTGCATTAGTGCTTATTTTGACCTCTGCTGGCTGAGANAAGCTAATTTTTAACGTCCAATACAGAATGTGATAAAACCAGATCCAG